CATGAGCTGGCCACTAACCCAATTACCCAGAATCCCCGGAGGAGCCCTCATCCTTCCCAGGAAGCACAAAGCAAAAACCCAAGCATATTGCAGGGATGTCAGCTGAGCTTTCACTGGAATCAAATGTCTTTTCGAGAACACATGGTTTGGAAGCAGGGATGGGGGCAGGAGGGAGCGGTTGCTGGAAACGCTTTGCTTCATTGAGAGATTCTGACACTTAAAAAGAGAAATGAAACACCTTCCATTTGGTCATGTTGCTGAAAAGAGGTCCACTGTTGATTCAGTTATCTGGATTTTAGTGAACAATGAAGGCAAAGTTATGAGGTAGAAGTATTTTGAGATTGCTAGTGCCAGGAATCCCTTGTTTAGTTACTGGACAGTGGCACCCAATTTATAAAATCACAGAGCAGGGCCTACTCAGGAGTGACAGGTTTGTTTCTTTGGACAGCATTTGTAACAGCCACTGGCTGCATCTGGTAAGGGAAAGAGCAGAGTTAGGATAGTTCTAGTGGCTGCAGTAGGCAGGGTATTGCCAAAGGCTCTACAGACAGGTGAAAAAGGGGAACAGCTAATGGGAAGATGAGCAGGGTGAATTCTATGGCTCTTCTCTCTTCACTTCTCATTCATATTTCAGTCCTTGGCCCTGTAGTGTCAGTATCCACACATTCTAGTGATGAGTACATCACAAATCAGATTAGACAGATAACAGTTTGGGAGCTTGGGGGATTTGTAACAAGGAATTTGGATGTCCTGTTGAATTTTAACATGTCCTCTAGTCTTACTTATTGAAGTGCATTAGTATGACAAGGAGCAAAGCTTGGGAAATGAATGGTTGTACCTGGGATTACTACATCACAGCAGATACACTTCTGGGAAGAAACAGAGTCATGTAGCTGAAGTAAGTCATCCACCTTTCTTCGCTAATTGCCTAAACTTTCTCTTGCTGTTAAAGAGCCACCCTTTTCTGCATCCAGATCCAGACTTCTTTCCCCTACCTTTCTTATGCATGTAGACTTCACCCTCACCACATAAGTAAAAACTGCTGGGTGACCTTCAGAGCAAGAAGGCCAGGCCAGAGGAGAATTTGCCTTCAAAGACATTCCGAGGGGGGCATCTTGAACATAGCAGCTTTCCTATCTGGGAATTCTTATAAGAAATGCATCTGGGAAACTTTGGATGTAAATATTTTCTGAAATAAGGTGCACCTCATCTGCCACAGGATAAATCCCCAGGGCCCTTTCAGTCTTTGCCCTCTTTCCTAGAAGCCCCACAGGCCATCCTCAATGGCTAGGCATCCTTACAGGTAACATTTCTGTTTGCAGACAGATTTTGCAGAACAGGAAGGTATGCACTTCGGCTGGACAAAGCTGTAGAGAAGCCCCATTCATCTCTGCCTGCAGATACCTCAGCCAGGCCACAATCAGCAGAGCACAGGCTTTCTAGGCACATAACTTCTCTACAGGGACTCTTGGATTGGGGTACGCTGGAATCACAAACTCCAAATCCAGCAGCCTCCTGTCCAGGCCTCCTGTCCAGGCGTGAATGAGGGGGCAATTAGAGCTCTCTGAAGGCACAATCCAGATGAAAGGGAAAGTGAAGACGGACAGCTAGACAGGCCAACACATCTGATTCTGTTGGGCTCCGCAGGCATTGCTTTCTGCCAGTCACTCTCCCCACTGAGTCTCGCCTGCCCTGCAGCGTCACGCCTGGAGAACCTGAGACAGCAAAGCTCTGGTGTCTGCGGTTCCCTCGCTGCAATGCATTGATCGGAGATCTCTTAAAGAAAGTGGCCTGGATATCTGAGACACCTATTGATCGCCCCATCGGCTCTCTTCCTGCCCTGATCCTCATTCACTTGGCAGTGCCTGAACAACCTGCACCTCTGTGTTAGGGACAGTCTCCCAGGTCTTAAAGGGACACGGTTGGCTGTTCAGCTCCCTGCAGTCCCTTGGAAAAGAAAGAACGTGCCTAGTGACCCTCATGTGCACTTCCAAGGGGATTCTGCTTCTGCAGAATCAAGTTGAGCATTCAGGAGTAAAGTAGAGGCTTGAAGTCATCACTACCTGCTTTTTGACATCTTTAAATACTGGTTCCCCCTGCTTGAAAAATAGGTCCGTACCACATGCTCAGTGAGCAGACAGAGGCGCGTATATCACGTGTAAGGACAATAACCAGAAGAATCTTTCCTGTCTTACTGAGAAGAAATCACAAAGCACTGAACTAGGCACGAACAGAATATCATATTTTTCTTCTTCAGAGGAAGAACAGTTTCATTTCCCAGAAATGTCTCGCAGTAAGTTACCAGATCAATACCAAAGATCTCAAAGAGAGACGCAGCAAGAGACAAACTGGCTTCAAGATCTCTCATTTAGCCGTAAGATCACTTTTCTCCAAACTCTGGGCAATCAAACAGGAGAAGGAACCTGGCTTAGCAGCCTTCTGCCATGGATGGACCCAAGGAAGAAGAGAGATGTAAACCAAAGCAAGGAAAAACAGGAAATACTGAAAGGAAAAATAGCACGTAGCTTGAAGATGAAAACATCCTAATGAGCACATGGGGACTGCAGGATAGGTTATCTGGGAAAGCCAAAACACCAGGGATTTCAAAAACCAGTCAAACTACTAGAAATGTGTAACAGGGAACACTGTTGCCCTGGTGGATAAAGCGATGGATGAGCTAACAGAATGACAGATCAGAGATGTAAAAAACCAACGAACCTTTTCTAATCCAAAATCTCTTGTCAGTTCTGCATTTCTGAGTAAGTCAAACAATTATGGATTTGTTCTTTCCTGAAACTCCTGGCCCTGTGGAGATCAAAGACTGTGAAGCCATTTTTTATCCCTTTTTGGATTTTGCTTTTAAAGATGTGTATTGATTAAATTCTGTATACTAATAACTTTGCGCTTCACATAAAGTTAACTAATCAGTGCTTATAACCCTTTTGCAAAGCAGTCTGACCCTTATTTCTCAGCTGGTAAAGATGAGCAAAAGAGAGAGAAAAGAAGCAGCATTTCCTACATCAGCTGACCACTCAGCATTAGGATAAAAAATTCCTGTTAGATTGCTAAAATAGGCTCTTCTCCTTCCCTTGATACTGTCAAGTGTTTGTACATCCCATTGCTATCAATAAATCTAAATGCTGTATATTCCACAGCTCTAAATATTATGGGAAGGATCACAGATACACTAACATCAATAGCAAACCACCCTTCCCTAGTGGTTTAATGATGCCAAATCAATCCCTATATGAATAACCAAAGACACTTCAGCACAAAAGCAGCCTTAAAGAGTCAAATTTCAGTTTACAATGATTTATATCCCACAGGGTTCAGGAGGTCAGACACAGCATGGTGTGAATGAAACTATACTGTTTGTCAGCCTGTCTCTGGTCTGGTAGGAGTTAACCGTTTTCACACAACTTGGTGGCTAAGCCACAGTTCAGACCCTGCTCTGGACTGTATTACACTCCTAGAACTGGGAGCAGAGGTTGCCCTGGCTGCAGTCAAGCCAGCACAGGCTCCTGCTGCTCAGAGCTGCCAAGCTCTGAGAGGCTCAACTGCTTGGATGAAGGGCAGTACAGACACAGGCAGCCAGCAAGCCAGGACCTGTGCTGCTGCTCTGCAGAGTGACTGGAGCCACATCATCATATTTTTATGGTTGTTTTAGAAGATTAGTGTGAGCAGGCTCTCTCATAACCAATGTGCTCTTCCACTAAAGGCAACATCACTATCATGGACTGGTATGTGAGTGAGGGGATATAATGCTCCCCAGAATGACCACACACAGGAAAGCTGCTTTAAAGGAGTTTCTCTCTAAATCCCAAAGCAGGTGCCTCCCTCCCAGCAGAAGATCAAGACTTTCCCAACTTGATAACCTGCCGGGGAGGGATAGACTACACAAGACTGCATCTCCTTCCCTTGGTACCTGGTGTGCTCCAGCAGGAAGATATTTAACCACAGAAGCTGCACATCCATCAAAGAACAGGACAGAGTTTAACATCTAATCTACATTTTTAACAATACAGGCTGCCATCAACTTGCCTCTCAAGAAATGAGAGAGCACCAGTGCAATGCAATACAGGTTCAAGTGACATCGTGCAATTCATCACTGGCTGCTAAAATGGTATAATCTGGAAGCACGCTGCATGCTGGCATCTTGGCTCCAGCACACTGGCCTTGTGCAGACCACAGCTAGCTGTTGTTCCTTTTAGACAAACGCAGGGCACTGTTCTCTGTCAGGTACAGCAGTTCAGAGGGTTGCAAGTAGCTCTCCTCCTTCCTACCCCTCCTCCTCTCGGTTCCTCTCCCTGAGGGACCCAAAGGAAACAAAGCTTTAAAGCCAATCCATAAGAATGTGTTTAATTGCCACTGAATTCCCTGTGGTTCACCTTGAATGGACAAGGACTGGGGAGGCAGGGGGGAAGGGAGGAAAAGCAGCACAAGAAAAGCTGAACACTTCTTAGAGAACACCGAACAGATCAATAAGCTGAACAGGTTGAGCATGCAGGGCAGGCGACCCACAGCTCCCAGACAAACCTGTGCTCCTCAACATCTTCAGAAAGTCTCCTGAGTGGAAACATGGGCAGACCTTCAAGCACACTGTGCCATAGCTTTGCATTAACTCCATCCTTCCCTTACTAAGCCCAGACAACCCAGTCATAATCAAGCAAGAACCTTTCCTTCTCAATACTGGAAAAAGACCTGGAGGGAAAGAGAACAATACCGTCCAGCCTGGGATTCTTTCAGGAAGGAAATGGTTTGGCACAGCCTGTTTCCAGTTATCTGTTGAATTTGCTGAAAGTAATATCCCAGCATTAGTGTGCTGACTAGAACCACCCTCCTCTCTGGATTGTCTTCTTGGTAACGGCCCATCCTGACTCTTCTAAAAATCCTATATAGAGATACTTTGGAAAAACCTGAGAGCACAAGTGTATATTTGCCCTAGGGGATTCTACAAGGCCTGGATTTCCTGGTCAGGACAGACAGCAACTGCATCTTACCTTCTTTCAGCATCCCCACTTTGAGGCATTTCATGAAGCGACAGGCTTGACAGGACTTGCGCCTCCGTTTTGTGATCTCACATTCATTGGTGGCTGGGCAGCTGTATTCAATATTCCCTGCAATCAAACACAGATATGGTCACTCAGGAGCCATATTCTCCTCACTGACCCAGAAGTAGGCTGAAGTGCCCAAGTATTTCCATAACCATTGGTCTCTATGTTTGCTCACTCATTTGCTCACACACACAGACCACAGCTGGCTTGTGATGGATGGCTCTTTGAGAACCCAGCACTACTTACTGGAGCTCATTTCAGAAAAAAAGCAACACTGCTGTTTGTACTGGGAGAAACCTGCCCATCCAAGGAGCTGACTCAAAGCTGGGCTTTCAGGCACACAGTATTTTCAAAGCACATCATCACTTCTTATGCTGCGTCACTTACTACCTGTTCCCTGAAGCCCTGAGAGCTAGAGCAAATCTCACTCCACATCTACCAGGTGGATGTCACCTGTCTTCTTTGTCTTGCTTTGGGTACCACAGAGCTAGGAGGTGGGATTTCCTCCTTTGCTTCCTCCTGTCAGTGACATCCTGCAGGTAGCAGGGAAGCAGTTGTTGAGAAAAATGGGTAAGATGTAAAATGCAACCTATCTATGCACATCTTTTCAGTTTTACTTTAGTAGTCCTTATCATTTCTTTGTAGAGAAGATCATTTCTTTCCTTATTTCCTTTCATTTATGATCACAACATCACTTCCAAGACAAAACAGGAAAAGAGGCACCCCAAATTTGTTTCTGCTCATTTTATATTTTATAATAAGCAAAGCACATAACTGAAACATGGAAGCAGGGGTCTGATATGAGGATGGAGTGGATAGTACACTGAATGACATGTAAAGCAGCAATTATTTAGCCCCAGAAGATAACAAATAGAAACAGTTGTCTTCATCCTGACATTCACTGTGAAGATGCTTCTGAAGAGGACTATTCAGTTTTTGCTGTGGAGCAGGACCAGAAACCTGGCGTCAACAGTGATAATGTATTGCTAGGCAGTCTGGCTACGAGGTAAAACAGGCAGCTCCAAAAGGGATTTCTAAAATCTACAATTAGTTCAGAAGGATGGAAAGGTTGCTTTGGTGGTTCAGAGCAGGAAACTGAGAGCCAAGAGTTCACTCACAGCTGTAGGAAAGAGCACATGTGAGAGCAGAGAGGGGACACAGCCTGGACTTTGTATGCCACCAGATTAGAAGGGAAGCTCCCAGTTCAGTAACACCAGGACAGGACACAATTTTTGTTCCTAGATATGCAATGGATTTCTAGTTCTTGTTCAAGACCCTTCTTTTCTCTGCATATATGCATACAGTTTCTAGGGGTGATAACTAGATCTTGGGACTAACTAAGCAGTCAGAGAATCCACTGACAATCAGACCTAAAAGAGAGATAGATTCAAAAGGAGGAAAGCACCATTTTATTTATTTCATTATGCTTGGCCCTTGCTGGGTGAAACCTCAGAAGCATACAGCCCCTAGAAGTACAGACATTATCTGCCTGCTAGTTACAAACCTGCCCTCTATCTTGTCACAAGACCTGCAACTTGACTTTAAGCTTCAGGCTGTCCACCTCATTCCTCACCATTGTTCCTTCTTGCCCAAAATGCAGCTTGTCCACATACACACAAAAAAAACATTGCACAAGTTGCTTCCATTCAGACCGTATTTGGTCATTGTGCAGCACCTGAATTTCAATAGCTAGCAATGTATCAAGATTCTCAGAGAGCTGGAAATTGAGATTCAGGTATGATCTCATGGTAATAAACTCCTGCTCTAGACACAGAGCTCCACTGCCTTACAGATTTCTGAATACAGAGGCCTGATCTCTACTTGCTGTGCCCAGCACAGGAAGGAACAGAGCAGGAACAAACTTGGAATAAAACTCCACCATAATCTCACTTTTGAAGGTCTTGCCTTAGTTTCAATATTCACCTTGCATACCAAAACCAGCACCGGGGTTTTGGAGAGCAAAATATTTCATTTTTTATGGTTTCAAGGCCAAAAATTCATCTCCTAAGACAGAGACACCCAAGGGGGCACAGAGCCCTAACAGCAGCAGAAGGCAATGACAGCCCTTTCTAGAAGTTCAAGGTCCCTCTACAATGAGTCAGGCAGATCCTTCAACTTCTTCATGCCTTCCCCTGACAAAGTACTGGCAATGGTCTATGTAGCCTAGATCACTCAACTGTGAAAGTGTCAGAGTAAGTACTGGGTATCATATGTACCATATAGGGACATATAATTTGAATATGCAGCTTTCAAAGGCATTCTGTACTGGGATCACAACTGTTAAAGCATCAGAAGGGAGTGGCCACTGGGCCAGCTCCCCTTCCCATGTGGCAACACAGCAGCCACCATGCGGTGCTGCAGCCATAGGGTTTATGGGTATATAAAAATGAGAAAAATACACCTACCAGTGGGACGTCCCTTTCAGCGTGTCTTAGTGCCTTCACATTGAACGCAGGCTTGCATGTTCTTACATATACCCCGTTCCCAGTCCCAAGGCAACCATGTCCTGCAGCCCGCTCTGCTGGGTAAATGCTAGAGGTGAAGCCCAGTGTGCTCTCTCCACAAAAGAACTGACACTAGGAGAAGCAAGACAGTGTTGCCAAGCTAAACAGACTTTTTTTTATCAAGCCCCAAATGCACCCTGTACTGGATGGACTGAAAGCTACAGCTGGGGGCAATATCCAAGTGTTTGCAGGCAGTCACCAGGGAAGGCACTATCAGCATTACCCAGGCAGAATTCATCCAAGAAAAACTCGTCTCCAAAACTTTGTAACAAAGTTCTCTGACTTCTTTCATTGTTTGTTCTCTCAATTTCTTTTATGGGTCCTGGGGCCGGCTGCCAGCACAGCGAGCTGCTCGCAGCTCCTGTAATTTCTGTAAGTGCCCTATGATAAAGTGATGAGATTAACTCATCGGAATTCCAGCAGCCTCGCAGCGGCTGGCGGTCACACCATCAGCCTGGCTGCTGGCGCTTAGAGAGCGCTCCCTCTTTGCTACAGCAGCTGGGGTGCAGAAGGGCCTCTGTGCACACAAGAGTTCAGACAGACAAGTCCTTATACGAGTATAAATTTGTGGCACGTATTGTATTGTGAATTGTAGATTATGTGACCTAGAAAGAAAAGGCAAGAAAATGGGATAATCTAGTAGACAAGGCCTTGCTTTGAACAGTCATTTATTAGAAAAGCTTTCCTTGATTTAGGTAATATTTACATTTGATCCAAAAAACCTGCTAGGACCTCACCGATGCCACCACACAAGGCTGACCTATAAAACAGCTTCAAAAAAACCAAGTGGCTGGTGACCAGATCAAAGTCTGGATTTGTTCTGAGCTTTCCTCTTGGAGGTCAAATCACTTCCTCTCTGTGTCCTGGTCTTCCCATCATCAAAACTGGGTGAGCTACCAAACCTGTCTCCTGGGGGGATCGTGAGTCTTGATTCATTAGGGTCTAACTGCACTTTATAGCCTTTAGATGAGAGATGCTAAGGAACAGCCAAGGACTATTGAAGTGACAGGTCATTTGGTGTCCCACTGAAAAAAGACCTAAAAACTGCAAAATGGCCCATGGTGAATGACCAGCAGTGTCTCTGCTCTCAGTGCACACCAGTCCAATCTCTTCTACAGCAGGACAAGGGAACACTGATAGGAAGCATGCAGGGGATTCTCTGTTACCTTCCATTTAAATTAGCTGAGACATCATAATCTGAGTCCTGGTGTGAGGACAGGTACTTTGTGAAAATCAGAGGAAAATCTCTATGAGAGCAAATAGAGGTCTCTCCAGGTGTAGTAGTACCAGCACTGTTTGCCTTCTCTGCTCCATGCAAAAGGACTTGGACATTTTTGCACAGTGTTGGTCAAATCACCCTCTTGCCTGCATGTGGCTGCAGGACTTGAGCCCTGGGCAGCACACAGCTTTCTCTCAGTCTGACGTAGTTTCTTGCAGACAGGTTTCTGACACGGAAGTATTTACCTATTGAAGTTTTGGATGACAGATCCTCTGAACAAAGCAATCTCTACGGATGCACTGAGGCAAAAATAAAATGCAAAACTAACAAGGTTGAATTGGACTGCAGATGATTTTCTGACTTCAAGTACTAGAGCTATGATAATAAATAGCAGTCGGGCACTAGATCCTGGAAATACTGTGCTTTTTCTAGCCATGCTACAAAAGTTTTTGGAAGTCTAAGACACTGTGTTTTTGCTGTGAGTTCCCATCTGAGAAATATGAGAAGGACAGAGGGACAGGACAGAGCTGACTGCCACAGCCACTACTGCAGGGTCACAAACCTCCCTCCTGCATCTCACAGGTTCTTTGCTGCACTTGTGGAAGACTTTTGCGCTCAGGAAGATGTGCAGACTCTCTCAGCTGCTCTTACCTTCCCAGCAGCCATGCTGATCACTATAAATACAACCAGGAGGCCCTAAAAGTCCACAGATTTTGTTTCAAGCCTGTTATAAATCCACATAAATCTTCTGAGTTGCATTATCCACATTTTAAGCCCCTTAGTGGTGTAAGGGCATCCAGGCACAGCAGCTGTGTAGTGATATTCACAGAGTTTGAAGTTTGCAAGACTCAAGCAGAGAATCCATGGATGCAGATGCTTTGCCTGATAAACACCCTGGCCTTTCAGAAGATGATGTTAAAGATGCCTCTTCTCTCTCTCTCTCTCTCTCCAATGCCCCAATTCTCCTCAACATGAATTCTTGTAAGTCCTGTTGTTTCACCTGATGGGTATGAGTTCCAAGCACACAACAGACTGACTCACAAAGAACAGAGGGAAATCTTAATTCAGGTTCATTTTGCTGACTTTAAGATTTTATATTAATGATCATTTTAGAAATAGCCTTAATTTTCACTATTTGAAAATGAAAAATAGATGAAGGGCAGTAATAATCATGAGTATGTTGAATAATAAGGGCAGCCATATGGTTATGTAGCACTGTTCTTAGTTTAATGCTCAGAGAAGTAAAACTGTTTACCAGTTAGAACTGAAAAACAAAAGCTAATGACAATTATTTGATTGATATATAATGTTCCATCTACTGAGCAAACTACTACAAGAATGAATAGTCAGATTATGAATAAGTATCCATAGCATTTGTCTTAAATTTGGATGAGAGAATTATGTAGGATTTCTGTGGAATATGAATTTTAAGAGTTTTTAATTCAGAAATATTCAAACCATTACCTTTCTTGTAACAGACCTATTTCATTTCATTTAACTAGTATGAAAGTTTTCTTTCAAATCAGACCTGTCTTAAGCAACAACAGTAGCACATTTCAAGATGCCCAGAGAAGCTGCGGGTGCCCCATCCTCAGAGGTGCTCAGAATGAGGCTGGATGGGGCCCTGGGCAACTTCGATGTGGTGGGTGGCAGCCCTACCCATGGCAGGGAGGTTGGAACTAAATGATCTTTAAGGTCCCTTTAACCTAAGCCATTCTATGATTCTATGATTTTACGACCAGAGATACCCAACCACATCCCTGCTGGCTTTCAGCCCATCTCCTTCCCATCAGTCAAAAAGCAGCGGACTTCATGATGTTGAGGACAGCCTGGACTCACCTGGCTGAAAGGAAGAGTAAGTGGCAGAGCTGTCAGGCTCTGCCATACTTTAATTAAAAAAAAAAAAAAAAAAAAACTTTACCTCAAAAAGCCCTTTTAACTCAAAAAAAAAAAGTCTGCAAATTGGGTGTAATACAGCTGAAGAATGAGTACCTTTTGGAAATGTTTTTGCCTGTCCCTTGTTTGTTATACTTGAGCTCTTTTCCACGTATACACAGGGTTGAGTGGATACAGCACAGCCCTAGGAATTTTACATTTTCCTGAGTCAACCAAAATGTGCAATCCTATTGCCTACCCAATCTCCCTAGACTCAGTCTTCAGCTCCACAGCTAGAACCATTCACACTTGGCACAGCACACTGGGCTCTCCCACTACTGGGAACTGAAGCATTTTGGTACCTCGGTTACTAACACAAGCTGATGACAGGGTGAGAGAAATCTTCACTTACTCCTTCCCCCCATCTGTTACACGTTAACAGGCAATCAATTAGGGAACCACAGGGAGAATATGGCTGTGCTGGGCAGGAGGGCTTGGAGAGAAGCAGTCTCCTTTCCTAGGATGAAATCAGCTGATGTAATACTAAGGCTGATTACAGGTTCTAGTTAGTGTTGCTCTGGATCATTTTCAACTTCTCAAAACTTCCTAGATTTCTTTTTCCTCTCCCCAGGTTAAGCCTATATTCCGCTCTGCCACAAAGAAGTTCTTGTACTGCTCCCATGAGGAGTCAGTTTTTCATCATCTTCCTGTATAAAAAGCCCGTAAGGGCTTTGCTTCAGAGTAATACCCTTTCCCTCCTTTAGTACCCAAATGTGCCAAAAAGAAACACAGGGAATGGGTCCAAGTGCTGGAGAAGGAACAGAGTCTGTGCTGACAGTCAGAAGTGCAACTAAAAGTCCAATCACAGGAGATTCAGCAATGATAAATCACAGAAATTCTGCCAGAGCATAGGCCAATACTCTAGGGATAGACACCCTTTCCACATGGCATAATGAAAAAGGAAGACTTAGTGGGGCAATACAGAATGATCATCTCCATAGCAGTATAGTGGCATGGAGATACACCTGGAATCTTAAAAAAAATTAAATGAAAAATAGTCAGTTCTGTAGAGATCTGTGCTAATCTGCACTCTGTATTGCTCTGTTCACTCCAGAATTGAACATTCCTAGTGATGGAGTATTAATTAAGTACGACTGGCCCAGTCAATGAACAAAAAAAAAAAAAAAAAAAAAAAAAAAAGAGTGCTTTCCCCACAAGTGGACTTACTTCATTTCACAGAAGTCGAGAGAGTGTTGGTGTGGTGGGCTGACATCAGCCAGCTACCAACACAATGGCTTGCTCTCTAGTCAACCCACTAGTATGCTTTCTATTGCAAAGTGAATTCTTCTTTTTCAGTTAGAGAGTGTAAGAAGCAGAGAGAGTACCTGTGTGTTCAGGCATGTTTGCTCATACATAGTCTGCTTGTGTAAGTACAACCAAGCATCTGAAGATATCAGAGCCTGCCCGTATGCACTTCTACTTTCAGCTGTATTGTTGGACCTGTACACGTACACATCTGCAGCATGCCTTTGGCACTCAGGACACAGGCATATACCATATATGTGAACTGTATTCACAAGATCAGTGAGTGGCAATTTGTCCACTTATACACGCACTGAGGTTATCAGTCATCTAAGGAATTTCTGATCATTGGTTAAGACTGACAAAAATTGGTACACTGTACCTTGAATAGTCCTCTTGAAGAAGGCCTTGCATGCCTCACAGGAAGCCACACCGTAATGGTACCCAGAAGCAATGTCCCCGCACACCAGGCACAGCCGCTTGGGGATGGCATTAAGCATGTACTCGCACTTGGTGGGTGAATCCTCCATGATGGCACTGGCGCAGTCATCGTATCGCTTACGGCAGGACCCACCACCAATCCCTGTGCCATTGAACATGGGTGGTGAGTCCAGGCCGTTGGGGTGGCCACCCATGGCAATGCCGTAGCCACCGCTAGCGTCAGAGGAGCCACTTGGGCTGTGGTGGCTGATGGCGTCGATGCCAGATGATGGGCTGGAGGGCTCGGTTTTGATGAAGGACCCACAGCTGGAGGAGAGATGCCGCTCCTCCGTGGCCATTCTGCCGAGCAGCCTGCAAAGAGAGAGCAAAGATGTTCAGCGGCCTCCTGGCTAAATGCAGCTCCAGAGTAGTCAAAGGAGAGCTCTCCTTTCCCACCTCAGTCCAATTCCAGTTGCCTCAGGCAGTCCAACACCACACAGGTGCTTCTCCTCAGGGATACAACACAAATCACTAAGAACCATTGCCTACTTCCCACCAAATCACACAGAGAAAGTCTAGGCCGTGCATGTAAATCACAATTTCAGGCTGTTCACAGGCTAGGGCTTGGAAGGGGCATCAGTGCTGATGAGACAGAAGCTACCCAGAGCAGACAAACCCTGGGAAAGCAGAAAAAAGTGAGCCTATCTGTGGCTGGCCAAATGAAAAAGATTCTCAATTAGTTCAGGATTCCCTGCCCTGGCTCTAAGCAGAATACATAAGCACACTCTGCAAGAAGGATCTATTCAGAATGGATTTTCTTTTGTAATACAGAAGCTCTGTGTTATTTTCATGTTGGATTCACTGCTCCTCTTCATTAACATTACTAAAATGGGAGCTCAGAAACTGAAAGAAACTGATCTGATCAAAAGCGTCATCCAGCTTAATCTTAAATATTAATCTTCCTTTTGTTTACTCTCTAATTTCCACTTTTTATAGAGTCATATGCTCTAAAGTATATGCAGGGATGGCATCTTTACCAAATTTGAAAGCTTTTATTATTATTAACTGCAGTCAAAGGTAATCTTATTGTTCATCTGAAAGTTCAGTCTTTTTTTAGAACACTGCTAATTCTGATGATATCATATGGAAACGAGCTGCAGGATTACTCATTTAGTCTATGAATAAATAAAAAAAAACCCAATCACCTCTATTGTGCATGCTGTATTTGCAGCCGCCCAGATTCCCTGGACATCTCCAAATTCTTCTTCTGTCCTGTACTTTTCCTATGTTCTCCTAATTTAGACTTTCATTATCCATATAATTGTTCCTCATGCATTCACACAGAAGTTTTGCAAACCTCAGATCTGTTTCATCATCCATCTCTGAATTTCAACTACTTTGGCTATTTCTGTTCAGTCCAGAAGAATTCAATGAGGCAACTCCTCAATAGTATGAAACTGGCACTACTCCACACTTCTCCAGCTGATGGTCTGGATAGCAGTCAAGACAAAGGTATCCCATCAATTACCTAGCAACATTTCCATATTTTCAATGTTATTTTCAGCCCATCACTTATATAACTCCTTAAATTATTTGCTTGTTTTCCCCTCCCATAAAATTAGTTATCAGTTCTTTAACAGACCATATCAGCAAGTTACTTACTAAGACTCTCAGATCTTTTCAAAGAGTTGCTACAGTTAATTTAGAATCCATTAAGATCTATGAAAAATCAAATTAATGCCTTCTGGAACACAATGCTGCAATGGTCAGCAGTGCACTTCAGCTACCATTGTGCTGTCCACACACCTAGCTTTGGTGCAATCCTCTGGGGTTCTTCAGTCTTTCTTGATAATGTACTGTCATCTGCAGAGTCTCACTGCTCGCCCACTTTGAAGATCATTAATGCATGAATCAAACACCTCAACACAGAACTTTTTGGGCCGTCCATGTTAACCTTTCCCATCCTGAGAATTGACCTCCACTTCTTCTCTGGATAGGGTATGCCTACTCTTTGTTTTCTGTCTCAGACACTTTTAAATTGATAATAGTATTAACCTGAGAGGTCAGATTTTCTCTCCAGCAAGATAATTTGTCAACAGTTTGTAAGAAAACCTAAAAATATGCGATCAAGTGATTTTCCTGATGACATGTCCAAAGAATTTTAACTGCCTGGAGATGCTTGAATTTCTTCTTGGAAGGACCACTGGTTTAAAGTTACCACACCATGGTCATGTGGGTAATTTCCATTTCTATTTCAGTTTCAACCTATTTACCTGGTATTTATGGCAACGCCTCCTGCCAAGAGGTCTGACCCATCAGGTGATAGGACAAAACATTTTGTGACACAGCAACACTGACGTGGATACATTACACACATCATTTCTGTGTGTCTACTGATATGAATGTACATGTCTGATACACAACAGCTTTACAGTTCTTCATCCTTATGATCTCATTTGACCCAAGTATCTCTTGATTTTCTTTTCTCTGTTTCATTGTCAGCATTTGACCTCATCTTCCATCTCCAGGAATCAATCATACAGGTCCATTATTTGGCAAGATGGTTGACCTTGAGACTATGGGCAGGCATCTCACGTTCCTGGGCTGCTTTGCCTGGTGTTACTTGAGAGGGATCAAGAGTTTAGTCCCACTCAGAGACAGTGTGATGAGTTGATGAATCCCCATGCTTTTCCCAGAAAAGCAGAAAGCAAAGCCAAAAGCTGCTGTGCTGGCCAGATTCTGGAACCTTTCTCTACCTGAGGGGTGCATATGTAATAAAAACCTGAACATTACCAGGCATAGAAACATGAGATTAGGATCAAAGTGGAAAGCAAAACCACCATAAAAAAGACTTTTCTGCACTGAGGAACTCCACAGAAAAAGGAGCTGAAGTTGCATGTTAAGGGCAGACAGAGGACAGCACTATGAAAAAGGCATGACAAGGAGGTAAACTGAACTGTCAGATTCAGTCAGGTAAGTTCAAATCCCAGCTTCTGTCTCTTAAAAAGCCCAGAATCCACTGACTGGGAAGAAATGAAGGAGCAAAAAACAAGATTCTGAATTGTATTAGAAAAGATACTGAAAACTGGGAGTAGAAGGACTTCAGAGAATTAAGGTTAAACAGAGGTGACAGAAGTCTTCTGTGTCTGTGCTTATATCTACTCCAAGTACGGCATATTCATTTCACATTCTTCATGTTAGCCATGTATAAAACAGACTCAGCCTGGTACACCTCCTCATCTTAATGGCACCCTTTACAAATCCAAAGTCAAACCTGAATATGGAAAACAGAGCTACCACTGCTATGGCTGGTTGTCGGAGCATGAGGCTGTTCACTTTTTCAGATTTGGAAGTATTTTTGGAAGTCCTGCCTACTGTATTAGCAAATGTAATCACTATTTGCAAGACAAGATGCCACAGTGGAGTTTACCTAGGAACACTGCCCTCCCAGGCCATCATAAACCAGGGAATCACAAAAATGACGGGACAGTTGTTCGCAAACACTTCTCAGAACTGCTGTCATAGCTCCAGACCTTACTGTGTAAAAAAAATCTTAGTTCTGAACTGACAGACTTGAAGGCTAGCACCGTTTTGTCACCAGCAAGTTACGGGAAGCTGGATTTGCCTCAAACAGACTCAGCGAGGTGTTTCTGTCCACTAGGAAAAAATAACAGAAAAAAAAAGGTTAGATCAGTGTCCTAGGTCCAACTCACTTCTCAACTCACAGCCTCAGTTATGGAAGCTGCCATACAGTGACTGTCTGGTGGTCAATCAAATATAGCAACAAAACCCTACATCCTTACAGTCCAGGATGCTCCTTTTCCTTTCAGTGAGACAGTAACACATAGCAAGTTCTGGTTAGGTTTGAACAAGTGCTTTACATACAAAAGCCCTTAGCACCAAGACAGACCAAAAACCAGAGCTAGGGTGTATCCACTCATTCCAGAGGTTGGGTTTTTCTTTCGCGTCCTCCGGTACAACTTGCATAGTTGACGAATGGGCAGCAGACACTGAGTTAAGCCTCTCCATCTCTGACTTTTTACAAGTCCCACAGAGATCTCATTGTGATTTTTAAGCAGACTCAGTATGTCCCCTGGCAAGAAAAAAAATGTATTGAACTTCAAGAACAGTTAAACATTTTTTTGCAAAGAGTTCAAAGTGATGAACAGCCATTTTGCTCAGCTCTGGTTACCTTAATAGGAAAGTGAAAGGAGAGAGACTTGATCCAACTCTCCTTTGCGCTGGCACAGGAAACTCCGTTACTATTTCTGTGCCCATGTAACAAGCTTAGAGGTTCTAAACATTTCATTCTTTTCACCTTTCCTCATCATAGGTCATTCCCTCTAATCCCTTTAGCATCTTTGTGGCCTTTCTCTGGACTCATTCCAGCTTACTTGGGTCTTGCAGCAAGGTGCCCCGAGTCGCACACTGCAATGATGCCACAGCAGTTCAGGGGAGAGACTCTCCAGAAAGTGCACAGTCAGGCAGACTTACAGGCCAGCCATGTGTAGCTTCACTAGCCATTAGCCTGCACCCCAGCTCACATCACTGCATACCCACTGTCTCACTAGTTCTCAGAACTTAAGCTGCTTTGCCATCTTGCTGTGCACAATATGAAATTCAGATTCTTCCTGTTCTAAAGTAGATCTCATATCACCTTTAAAGCACACACCACTAATTTTCACTTGTTTTATCAAAGCCAAGGTCTTCTAATAATGCTCATTTTTTCAGCCTATTTTTTTTTTTAAACACTGATTTGTTTCTAATATCTTTCAGTTGTGTCAACTGTAAATTTAAGAACTAATCTCTTACATTTTCCTTCAGGTCACTAATGAATACTTAAAGCCAAAGCAGCACCCTTTTGGACACCACCTTTGCAGAAGGATAAAGAATGTCTATAACCCTTCTGTTTATACTCTGTCAGCTAATCCATGATTCATTTCACAGGATTTGTATCAAAACCAATTTGATCTAATTTCCCTAATAAGATCTTACACAGCTTTGTGTCAAAAGCTCATGCGCAGCCCACAGACAGTCTATCCACCGCTTTCTATTTGCCCACTAATTATCTAATTGTATCAAGAAAGGTTATTGTCTGACTACTCTCGTATCATAAACCCACTGCTGTTTATCACTGATGATGTTGTTAGCCTTTGTGTGCACACTGCTGTCAGACAAGTATGCTCTGATCTCAGTGATCCTGAATGTAAATATGCAGGTTTAGACCAAGTCAGGATTGTGCTTTAGGTGCTCCAATGCCTTTTAGTGTTATCTCTTTAGAGCAGTGATGTTGAATTGATATTAGAAATTTCTCCAATTTTTCTCTATCCTTTCAACTTTGCTACTTCTCAATAAAGTTCATTACACATTTT